TGAACATTACTAAAAATAATTATATTTCACTAAAAACTATTAGTAGGCTACTTTTTTGCAATTGATAATAAATAATTTATTTTCTAAACGCATATCTTTTAAATTATATCCATTAGACCCAGAGTATTATACTTTTTAGGAATCACCTCATTTTTATCGATCTAAAAATGTCATAAAATATAGGGTGTTACATTTTAAAAAAGAGCCGGTTACGTCATCACCTTAACGTGTATTACCTTTTATAATCAAATTTTGTTGTAGAATGTAGAACATTAAATTTAAAAATCGACGTGTTTTAGATTTTTTTAAAAAGGCTTTTCATTTAGGAAATATCGAATTTATTCTATACTTTACGGACACACTGTATGTATAAAGCAAAACTTTTTCGACCGAAACACAACAGCTGAAGGAATATAGGATATGTGTACTCTTTATTCTTTAATCCCAATATTCGTTGGTAGTCACCACCATTATCAGGGAATGCTACAATTTAGTTACATGAGGAATTAAGGTATTTTAATATGATTATACCTACAATGTGAGCATAATGCCATAATGACAGCTAGTTAACATTTTAAAAAAGCTTTCACTGTTCTCCTCATCAAACCGCTCCATCTGTTATGGTCTGTAGCCATTTTCCTTCTCGATCGACTGCCAAGGAGATTTCTGGCGTCCTCATAGGACGCCAGAGGCCCCAATAGGTCTCTTCCCATGTCTTCTTGCATTCAACAGTTCTTTCGGAAGCCTGTTTTTTTCCATCCTAGATACATGGCCTGTGCATTAAAGATGATGGAGCCAAACACAGCCAAAATCGAATACCTTGGTCACATAATGAGGAGCAGGAAATGATACCGGTTGCTGCAATTAATTCTACAAGGAAAAGTAGAAGGAAAACGAGGACCAAGAAGGCCAAGGATTTCCTGTCTGAAAAATCTACGTACGTGGTTCAACACAACAACAACAAATAATTTTAGAGCAGCAGTCCGAAACGGATAGGCACTACAAGAAGATGTGCCCTGTTTATTTAGTAGTCATATGCATGTTTAAAGTCGACGACAATATTATATACATCTATCTCATATTGTCCAATATGCATTTATCTATAAAATTTGTGAAAATATGTGTGAATAAACCCTTCGTATAACACTCCTCATGATTAGAGACTGGATTATATGCTCTAAAAAATGGTTAAAATATGCATGCAACATGCACTTAAAAAGTAACCAAATATGCCCTTATTATATGCAATATGCATTTATATACACACTTTAAAAAATATTTTTTAATTTTTAGGACTTGAGATTTGGTGAGAAATAAAATTATAGTATAACTTAGCCAGTATTTATTTATTACTACATTTAATAAAAAAAATATAAATGAAAATTCACAAGAAAATGTCCTCGTTCTTGCTGTTACAGTATATAATCATAAAATGTTCAATATTTTCAAGAATAATGTTATGCCTTCTATCAGTTAATATGTGTTTATATGAGGAAAACTATCTTTCAATATCACAGGATGTAATTGGCGCAAATCTAAAATTTGACACTAGCGAGGGATCCATATTTGTTAAAGCTTCCATGGATTATGTTCCGGTTTAAAACTTCACTAAATTTATCTTATTTTTTTCCCAATTGTCCCTGAAAGTTTTACTATTCTTTCTTTGACAGAATTAACAATGCAAATACTATCATGTAAAGATGACTCTCTAGTTTTGTAATAGGGTTTACAATTATGTCAAAATTTGCTTTTATATAGGACAGTTTATTCTGAACAGAATTCTCACTACAAATATTTTGACATTTCTGAACAGCAATACAACAAGAAGGATCAAAATTTGATACAACATTTTTGATATCAATATAATTATTTGCAAGAAATATGGCACTATTCAATCACGTCCCCCATCTAGTCAACACTGGTTTCGGTGGCAAAGGAATATCGGGAAGCATCTCCCTCGCAATGGTGCTTTTAAAAATACTTTCTTTACATTGTTGATTAGTTTACATTTGGAAACTCGAGTCTAACTTTCTCTGCCACCCTGTTTAAACCATGCGCTAAGCATGTAGAATGAATCAAGTTCGGTAGAGATGATACGAAATACTAGGAACAAGTATTTGGTAATAGGTATGAGCATATAACGTAACGTAACAGTTACCGGTTTTCTAAAATACTAGTTCCAGTTCCATCTAGATTTGTTCAACGACACGACGCGACACAGAATGTATCAAGCCTGGTAACTGTTACTGGTACTGTTACTGTACAAAACACAATAACGCCGATACTCGATATCTGCGCTGAGCTTTGTTATCGATATTTTGGTATTGGTATTAGGAATACTTTTGGATACCGATACGCACAGGGATCAGTTGCATTTTTTGGGTAGGTAATATTTCTTGTTTGTAGGTACTTCGGATTGGCGGTTCGGACGTCGAAATTATTACGGTGGTGTATGCAAGATGTGAAATTAAACGTATTAAATCTGTCATAATATTGGTTCCTTGTTTTTACTATATTATTCTAGAAGTATTTTAATTTAATTTTGTTTGAGTGTAACACATATTTCTTATGAAACTAAAATAAAAGAGTATATAAATTTTCTGCGTATGCAAATAACTTTTTAATATGTTGAAAATTAAAAAAAAAGCAATTAAACATTACATTTGATATGGGATAATAGGACCCATATAACATTGTAAGCGATACTTATTGATGCCTTTTGTTTATTTTTACGGGTGGCGTGGAGTCCCATTTATATTTTGTATTATAATAGAATAACTATTCTGTTTATGGTAAAACATATTTATTTAAATAAAAATGTAATTCTTAAAATATACATATTATTTACTAAAATAAACTACATAAGTGTATTTAGCACAAAAATAAAAAAAAATGAAATCGTTTAAAAAAATAACAAAATAAAAAATATAACTTAAATGTAAAAAATTCGAAAAAATTTGAATTAACACTTAAAAATAATAATTGCTCTAATTTATTGGCTTTCAAGCGATTTCGTTTTTCCTTTAACAATTGCCCTCCTTACAGACTGCGACCTGCGTCTGGAATAGACGTGGAGTACAAATGTAAAAAATACTAGGTTAAAAAGTAACTAGTATTTGGAACAGGTACGAACATGGAACCGGAACGTAACGTAACTGTTACCGAAAAATACTCATTTGTATCATCTGTAAAGTTCGGCAAAAAAATCTTAAGGCTAGTAACAGCTTTAACCATGTAGGAAGCGACATCGCTAACTACTAGCAAAATTTTTTCAGAAGGTAATTGGTTCGGTAAAAAGAAATTTGTCAAAGATTCATTAACAAATCGAGCAATTGTTCATAGTTGGTTTTTTCTAAACATTTTACGCTGATTAAATACGACTTGGAGTCATCAGCTGACCTGTTTAAAACTCCAATCATTAAATTCGCGATTTGCCGACCCTTGGCGTCAGTAGTCTCGTCGACAGATATCCACAGATATTCATCTCCACAGATATCCACAGATATTCATACCCGGCTTTTAATACCTTCAATAAAGTCTTTGTAAGATGCCCTCACATATTTCTTGCGATGAGTTGAAGAACTGGTACCTGTACTGACTTATTTTCAACTTTACAATATGTTTTCAAAAAATTTTGACACACCTTGCTATCCAATTGATACAGTGGGATATTGCAACTTACAAAAAAATTGCATACATCTTTTGCAAACATTTCTTGCCCCGTCGATGTGTGACGATTTTGAATAATGTTGTTCTGCAGAAGCTGCTGGCGTGGTTTTTTGTAGTTCTTAGATAGTTTATATTGGAGAAGAGCCATTTTCAGGTGTTGGGAGATTTGGAATTTTTTTTTCACATGGAATCTGTAATAAAACGGTTTAGTAAATAGGAGTCTAATGCAATAATATGGACTTCAAAGTTTTAAGATAACTTATATTTTTTCTCTCGAAATTAAAACTACCGCCAATAGTCAAACTGTTACATCTTTAGTATAGGTATACCGATTTTCTTGCAAAAATGAGATTTTAAATTAAATTTAACCCCCTCTGTGGCTCAGTGGTAAGAGCGCCTACCTTTAAACCTAAAGGTCGTGAGTTCGAATCTCACCTGGATGGAGAAATTTTCGTTTATTAAAAATTAATGAATGAAAATAATTTCTATCCTTGTGCGATCGGTACTCACCGGAGGGACCGCAGACGTTCGGATACAATTAGCGTCTCTTAACAAAAATAATGACGTCGACTTTGCTAAGTATCAAGACAATTACTCTACACACAAAAACACACACTACACTAGGTACCTGACTGTACCATGCCAATGACTATTAGTTGTCGAGGCATTAACACAATAAAAAAAAATTAAATTTTTGAATCGTTAAAATATAAGTCGGCTCACCTTTTCATCACAAATAGTAGAGGAAACACTTTCATTGTCTATAATCTTCATTTCACTGTTGCCACCAACCCAACTCGGAAATAGACTTGATGTTTGTTTCGCTACTTTCGGCATATTTTCAAAAAAGAAATTAATTTTATTTGATAAGCACAATATTCACAATCACAAGTTGCTTTGCCAGCTGGTAAAGAGAATTTAAAAACGAATTTACTGTATAATACCTACCTGCATGTTGGCCCTATTCTTCTGATAAATAATTCCCAGATGGGTTTTCCCAAACAATAAAAACTTGTAGATTTAGTAGATATTTGTAATAAAATTATTTCGTAGTTACCTTACCTAGTACCTGCTATGAATAATTCCAAGAAACTATTGTCTAAATATGTATAGAAAACGATTTTATTTATGTGATATTTTCATATATGTGGCAATATGCTCTTAATCAAGTAAATATGAATAGTATATGCATTTATAAAGAAACCCACAAATATGCTACATATATATGCACATGCATTTTGCATATAATCCAGTATCTACTTATGATGCATAATCGTTTTACAGTATTTGTTGAATTAAGATGACTTAGTATATGTTTTTTTCTTTCACAGGTGGAGGAGGACTGCGTCGGCTGTCCGCTTCCTTCTACTCCAGAAGATGAAAACCTTCTGGATTCGGAGATGAGTGATGTTTTAAAAGCAGCAGTTCTAGGTACAGGTAGCGTAGTATAGATATGTGCTCACGTTTTATTTTTTCTCATGGTTTTGTTTGTGTTTTATTCTGTTTTCAGGTAGTACCATAACATTTTTTTTATTTTTTTAATTAGAACTTATTTCTCTAACGGTTTAATGTGAAAATATTTGTTTTTGGTAAATTGATGCTAGCTTGTTGTGGAATGTAATCAAATATAAAAGAACTTTATTGGAACAAAAAATATTGGTTATCTTAAATGTATATCTATATAAATATGAAATATCACAAAAAATAACGTGGAAAAGTTAATTAGTTTATACAAATATAGTGTCTTATTATAAATTAAACAGTGATAACAGTAGTTTTATACTCCGTTTCAAAATAATTGATAGCATTGTGTCAAAATAATTTTTATGACACAGTTAATTTTATTTTATGTGGTATTGTTTTCATAGTTTGTCGGGTTAGTCATATAATTTTTATAAATTCTTGTACGAAACTGAGACAATCCAAAATATTTCTTTAGACATGGGAATCTTTAAATTACTGAACCTATTAGATTATCTTTTTATCGAGAAAGTATTGACATTGAAAAAGAATTATACTGTTTTATTTAACTGACGGAAACTGGACAGGAAGTTAACAGAACTTTGTTACTGTGATAAATAGAATTGCAAACAGTTATGTTGCAGCAATAGTTGAATCACAGTATATTTACGAATATTTTTATTGATTTATTAAAAAGAACATATTTCAAGTACTGTTGTTTAAATATAATCACAATTTAAACGAATTTGTTTAAAAGGGTACTTTAAATCACAATACATTTATCTATTTTTGTATATCTGATTTTCGAGAAGAAACGACTGATAAATGTTTTTGTGTATTCTGTCATTGACTGCCGAAAAAAAATTGGATAAAGATATCAAAAAATTCTGGGAAATAATAGATAAATCAAAGAGCATAACGTGGTGGAGATCAAAGAAAGGAAAAATCATTCATGAAAGGAAAAATATTTTGATAGGCGAGAAACCAGAAAATTTGATTAACTGTGAATCCAACCGAATCCATCAATAAGGCAATAGGTCAGAAGAAAAAGGGTAATCTCGATTTTAAACATGAAGACCTTTAATATATTCATGTTTTTTATCCAAAATAATGTAAACGAAAACTTGTGTTGTGTTTGGTATGTGCTGCTGTATGACACAGAAGAGAAAACGACGAAGTGAATAATTATTCACTGGTTAAAACTTCACATCTATTAAATAAGATTTAGTGCATAAATTAATGTCTAAGTAGTTTAGGGATAAGCAAACATGGTACCTTGATTTTTTATGCCGTTTTAATGAAATATACAAAAATAATATAATTCTCAAAACAAGACAATCTTCAACAAAGAACTCAAGAAAAACTTTTAAAAAATTGAAATGAAAACCTCACATTTGTGTGATTACGAGGGTTGTCTTTTTAAATTTGCATATAGCCATACAGACAAAAATATATAGACTTAAAATACTTTATTGCTTTTCAAAATATTTTTATCAAGATCGATACATTTTGCATACGTTCAAACCAATTGGTGAAAGTTATTCCAGTCTTCGGTTGACACCTGCTAAATCGTTGTTCTAAAGGCATCAATGGCTTCTTCTGGCGACTGGAATCGTTGCTCACGTATTGAATTCATGATCTTTGGGAATTCGTGAAGAAGTCGTTGAGACTTAGGTCGGGGCTATACGGTGGATGGTTTAACAATTGAATCGGTGAGTTTAAATAGGTACACATTCCAAAATGGCTATTTTTCAGGAACCAAAAGAAAAACTGTTGATCTGCAAAACTAAATATGTTACAGAAAATGTTTCAATTATGAACTTTCACAAATTAATAATTGTAAAGTTCATAATTGAAACATTTTCTGCAACATATTTAGTTTTGCAGATAAACAGTTTTTTTGAGTCCTGAAAAATAGCAATTTTGGAATGTGTTACCTGTTTCAACTCACCAATTCAATTCTATTCCAAAAAATCTATTGTCTTTTGTGCGGTGTGAGTACTTGCATTGTCGTGATGTAAGATGATTTGCCGTTGTGTGTTGCATTGTCGTAGTTTCGCGATAACTTCTGGTAGTTATCGCGATCAATATATACCAATATACCAATCAGAAGAAGTAACCGTTATTCGATCTTCTAAAGCAATGTTTGCCACATGACCAGATTTTGACACAAAAGTTGCGACCGTTTTCTTTGACACACTTTAAGAACCGATCACTTTTGTTGGTTTTACTTCATCGTGAAACACACACACACAGCAGATTGGCATTTATTTTCCCGTTTGTAGAAGCAAATCCGAGGATTCATCGCCATTAACAATACGTTACGTAAATATAAACGTTTTTTGAGCTTCCTTTATTAAACCGTTCCAATGTTTTTTGATACAAATTGACGCGTTGAACCGTTTTTTGCTCTACTGTGAGCGAATGAGGGATCCAAAGGGAAACCAACTTCGTAACACACAGTTATTCATGTACTGACGAACCGCATCAATGTTTTGCTGCATGACTGCTAGAGCTGGCTAGGCAAGACCTGGCCTACAGTCTTCGATGAGACTGAAGTGACTACGTTGAAATTCGCAATACCAGCGGGAAATAATTGACTGGTGTGATGCCCTATTCTCAAACACAGAAACCATTTCAGCGAGACATTACTATTGCGATAATGCTCTCCGAAAATTATAAAAAATTATTGCTCGAAAATGTTCTCGGCTAAAATCCATTTTCGACTGACTTGCCAATTACAAAAATTCACCGTATCTAAACGACTTTTTGTATCGCAATGAAACCTCGATTTATGTCAACAAAAAATTGAGGTTACATTTGTGTCGGAAGGTTTTATTGGTGGCGCCTTCTAAGCGGCGATATGTATAACTAAAATGTCAAACCTCGTAGTTTGTTTTATTCACTGCTTGCTTTTCCATATTTGCAGAAATCGTATGTAACAACCACTCTTATCATATCTCATCAACACCTCACTGTCATCTTTGCAGGTGACTCTTCTTAGCTTCTGTTGATTTTTTGTATTTTGTCAGCAAACAGTTTATTTGTCATTTGCAAGGACCGTTTTCTAGCGCGTTTAGAGAGATATGGCTTCATTAAACCTAAGGGGAGCACCTTCAAAAATTCTCTTCTGTACTTGTGCTGCATTGACGTAAGTTGCATCATAGAGCAGTTGTCCATTGATTGCCGCAATGTTCATCAGTTGGAAGAATATAACTAACGGTCATCTTGTTCTTCTTAATTCTGAGTATGTGCCACACATTTTATCAGCAGTTTCAACTTCACCTTTATATTGCAAGATGATATCAGGTTTACTCGAAACTGGATTTATATCTCTATCCTAGTACATTTATGAGATATTATCACTGCTTGATTTGTTTTCAGTGCACTGGAAACCAAGTTTCATTTTTTTTGGAATCCAAACAACAGACAAGATTTCAGAGATCTACTTTTAGTAGGCGAAGAATATTGCGGTATTGCCCATTTATTATTATTTTTTTCATGGTCCCAATCATAGTAATTTTATCTTCCAATAATTCTTTCGCTAACGTATAACTTAGTCACCATCTTTTCAGACGTCAAGTTCCGATTTATACCTTCTACTTCTTTAAACAAGTGGTGAACAATCGCAGTATGTGTATTTGGCATGCTGTAGGGGCGTTCGGATTGCTTATCGCAATAAACTTCAAAATTTGACACAATATAAAAAGTTTCAGTCCATACTTCGTTTGTTTGTTTGGAAGATATTAAAGAAAATTACAGCGTCCTCGGAAAGGTATCAACATTTCATAAATTGTTTAAAATTTGCTCACAGAGTAGTTGTTCTTGCAATTTAAAAAAAATCCACAAGGAAAACAATTCCTGTAGCTGGCTGTATACCATGTATCACAAAAAAGAGGTTAATCTTCGTAAATGGGTAAATTTTAAATATACCCATTTACGAAGATTAACCTCTTTTTTGTTCTTGCAATTCTCTACGAACGTATCTATGACCCTACTATTACAGCTAACTTATTAAATCTTTTTTCCTTGATTCCTGATACTTTTATCATCGAATCGAATAACAGTAAGTCAAAACAGGAATCTGTTTTTATTCATACATGCTCGAAAAATTTCAGAGTCGGATCCATCTGTTGTCCAGAGTTCCAAAAAATTGGTATAATTTTCCTTTTTGTATCCAAATAACAAGAGTAAACATAAGAATGCTTGAATTTCTGTTTTTTAACGTCTTTAGCATAAGTTCTCTTATAAATTATGGCCTAACATTCGGAATATGTAGACTGGTACATTCAATAATGTACTCTATATTTTATCTGAATATTCTCACAAAAGCATCTAGTTTATTTTGAATATCCCTTTCTTATTGTTTGTCTTCGAGCAAGATTTTTATAAGGTTTTTAGCGCTTTCTTATTTTTACTTTGCCCCTAAAATGAAAAATCTACTACAGACCAACTGCCAACTAACTCTCCAGCCATCAAAGCACAACTGTTTGCACACATTACTAAACACATCGGGCGTGGTTTATATCCAGAAGCGTGAGTAAGGGGTATCCCATTAGGTTTTTACTGCTGTTTTAGTAGACATAGTATAATTTATATACCAACGCAGGTAGTTAAAGGTTGAGGAAAACTACTATAGTAATACAAATTTAAAAACGTATAAAAAATTCGACAGATACCTATTTACAATTCTGCGTATCGTACTTATGTTCCACTTTGGATTTGACTGTTACATTTACAAACCGGCTAGTCTTTGAAAAATATAGGATAATTATTACATATGGTTACTGGACTCACAAATAAAATTGCAATGCAACTTTTGCCATAACAACTAATTGCCTTGCAGTGGGAGTGTTGCGAAGTGAAGTGTCGGTATGAGTTAATTTTTGACAGCATATAATCAGTTACGAGGATTGCCAGTGTGTTTTTTTAATCACTTGGGAATCTCCAAGCAGTGTTTGCCTCCTGCG